TCCAGTCGAATAGGTCAAATTTTATGTACTTTACCTTACTCTGATAATTTTTTGTATTTGTGATTGTGTTGTACTTTTAGTTCTGTTTCCTTTTCATGTATTGTTAATTGTATAATAATAAAAAAAAAAAAAAAACAATAGAAAAAATCATTCAAGTTCTGAGAGAGTAATGCATGAACTAGGTCGAAAAAGGGATGACAGGTAAAGACAATTTTCACAAATAAATTTAGAACTAACAAGTATCATGGAAAGCAGAATGTATCGTACGAACCTGCAGTTACTGGTCCTATCAATTGGCCTAGTCCAACCATGAAAAGTGAAAGTCCATACCCACTCGTAAGCTTCTCGGGACCGACAACAGCTTTTGTGGCAACAACCTGCAGTGCAGCAAATACACCTCTTGCTACACCCATAATTGCCATGACAACACACATAGAGATGAAGTTGTTTGTCATGGGTATGATGAGAGTACACATTCCAAATAAGAAGCATGCAGCTCCGTACGACTTTATTTTACACAAATGTAAAAAATCAACAACAAATCCTTGTGTGACTGCAGATACCATCATCGTGATCCCAAAAACAGACAACATCACAGCAGATTCCGATCTAGTAACCCCAATGTTATCAGCTCGTTTCACGATATGTATTGCAGGAATGTTAACTCCAAATCCGAATAAGAGTGAATTTATCATTAGAATCGAAAACATTGCATCCGTGAACAGATGTAATCCTAGGTGGCGACATACAGTAAGAAAAGTTTCAAAGCACCATATGCGAACATGTTTCTTTTCCAAATCGTTATTAGTGGTCACATCAGCAGTATCGTGTGCAGCAGATTCTTCAATCTCTTCCTCTAACCTAAATTCATCTTCATCATTAATAATTTTCGCTAAATAAATTGGCCGAAGGAGTAATCCACTGATACATAAATTCAGAGCAATCCCAGCTACCACAATAAACGCGCCACTCCATCCATAGTAATTAATCAAGAATCGTTGTAACGGAGCCAGGACAAATGAACCACATCCACTACCAACTGCAGCAATACCATTGGCTATGGCGTAGCGTCTTTTAAAATACCTACCAACCATAGCAGCTGAGGGAGTACGTGCTAAACCATGGCCGACACCTGTAAACGACAAAATCGTTACTTCGTCACATTTAAAATTAAAACGTAAAACATGTACAATCACCATCCAGGTACTGATACTTTGTGTGGGGTTGGTGAACGGCGAAGAGATAACCCTTAACAAAGTTCCAGATTGGTCAGAAACATATGAAACATAAACACTTGCAAAACATGTCTGAATTCTGTTTGAAACATAGATGAAACATTTCCAATGAAAGTAAATATTTTAAAACTGGTTTCAGACGACTAATTTGTTTGATGCAAGCATATGTCGAACCAAGTGTTGAAAACGTCCTACATAACTTCACTGAAAAACTACAAGGATGGACATGGACATTTCCCAAATAGTCTAAAAATGTCCCAAAAAGTCTTGCATAAAGTCTCACAAGAATATCTCCCGAGAATTTGGGAGAATTCGAGTCAGCCATGTTGGATTTTTGGGTAAACAATGTATAGTAGCGATCAGCGCAGTAAAGTTCAGACTTAATTAAAGGTAAAAGAATCATTGTGGGTTTATTTTCCATGATTTGTCCTGTCCATTTTTTTAATTGCCATCTAAAGTATCCAATGGCCAACCACTAACACAACGACAAACACTGCGACAAGTGCGCTTATGTAATCATTTGCATACGAATACAACAGAACGCAGGAACCAATTATTGATCGGAATTTGAAATATGACAATGCCTTTGACACTATCTTATTATATCCAAATTTGATTGGGTGTTTACAAATATAGTATTCAAACAAATGCAATATTTAGCTAATTAACGAGGTGATGATGATGATGTTCTTTGAAGGGTACCTTAAAACGCGGTGGTCGTCGCGCAGCGCGTGTCCGAATGTATTTTACACGCGTTGTATACGTCGCCATGAGTCCCATATCGAACAGGGCGCGGCACAACGACTGCCGCCCTTTAACACAGGCTTTCATGTATAATATTTGGCTGCAAACAGTTTTCTATAAAATAACGCTAGTTTACCTGTACGTATACTATTAGGTAAATTCGTACGCATTAGCATTTCATAAAACGGATACTGTCATTTGTATTTTATTATTCATCGTACCCTAATGTTTTATCAGGATGCAGTATAGAACATACTTCAGACATGCTCAAAAATACTATGTGGTTATCACGAGAATCGTGCGAAGTATGCACAGATAGTGGAATAATGAAAACGAAACTAAAAATATTCGTAGCCATGGGTCTGACTGTGTTCCATGCCATGCAGTGAACATGATTGGTTAAAAGATATCGACCTACCGACAAGAACCCCATACGTCACTGTAATAAATGCAATATTTGGAGCGAATGCACTGACAAACAGAGACATTGATGTTATCACTCCCCCGATGAAAGTAACACTACGATGACTGAACCGATTACTGAGAGCAGCAGCTATAGGTCCTGAAATATGAATATTTAAATTAATAAAGTTGTCCGAGAATCATCAATGACTTCAAATTACAATCAACACCAATAAAATAATAACCATGTTTATTTGACCATAGTGTAGGACATTGATCCGATAGCAGCTAGATCATAAGAAAATACTAACAATATACATTCTTTAGTTCAAATGCATGGCATATATAAAATGCGAGACTTATGACAACAACAGTGGTTTTGATCCCACCATTCTTTTCTTTTTGAGTCGCACTGATTTTAAACTCATTTGTAAAAGGTTTACATTCATATTATACCACATGTTATAGGTTTTTCGTGGTAATCGGTAATCCGTCATTTCAAGAATGTGGAGCCAATACTTATTGCAAAGAGTCAAGTGATAACAGTAGATCGGCAATTGCCCACAATCCCCTAGAATTGAACAGTTGACAACACCGTTCACGGAGTATGAAAACGTGGAATACCCTCCCCAAAAGTCAGCTTGGCATTCTGAGATAATGTGAACCTTTGTCGCCCACGCTTTTAAAAGGCTATTTAGTATGCTTGGGAAAAGTTTACTAAATATGGCGAGTAATGTGACCGCTCTGCAATTTTCGGATTTTGTGGGATAGTTTGTTCTTATATACGGGTACAATAGTACCGAACATGCAGTCACTGGGGAATTTAGCTGAATTTAGCACTGTCAGTATTAAAAAAAAATCTTATACTTGGTTTATAAATACAAATCGTTTCCGACATCTTTTAAATTAAAAACAAACATACCCATACAGAGACTGATAGCAACTTGAGTTGATACCATCCATGATGTATCCCCGGCACCCTCATTAAAGTGATCCATTATCGCAGCAAAGAATAAACCAATAGAGTGATGAGACCCTTTGATGATAAATAGAGTCATAAACCTTGCAGCAACAACCATCCATCCCCAACCACCGTCAGGAGCAACAACACCCTGTCTGTTTGTTGCAACTTTGGCTATGCTGTCACTGTCAATAAAATGATAATAATCGTCGTTCACCACGACGAACTAGTTACAGGGGACGTGCTGGTGGGAATGGCCCCGTGTTCATGATGTTTTAGGTTGATGTTGAAAACCGGCACTTGTATAATACGATGAAGAATCTCTTTCTTGCATGTTCATAAATATTGTAAGCCTCACAATATTTGCATAGGTACACAAAAGTATTGAATTTTAAAAATAATTTAAGAAAAAGAAAGAACGAACATGGCAATGCTTTGGTAGCATTAGCATGCGCTTTGCATACATAATTTGTTACAAACAACGATTTGTTCACCCGCTGTTACGACTGATTGTACAGAACCCCAAAATCGTCAATGTGTAGTCCCGACCCACTCGTGATTAAGCTTTTGAAAATATTTTAGAAACCATGTTTATTGCTGAAATTGTCATTGTGGATGATTCCATAGTTATTATTTACACTTAAAGCACCGTTATATGGCCCGTGGTTTGAACCGGATTGCTCAAAATGTAGCAACGATGACTTATTCATAGCTTCAATAACTTTTGACTCTTTGAATCAGGTGAGATTTGGTTTGTCACAAAATATTGTGACGTAAATTGTAACTGGGAAGTACTTGGAAAAGGGAACAGAGCCCTGGATGTGTGTGTGGAAAGCACACATGTTTGGATACTTTGCCACAACTCATTGCACATGTTTATTTTTAGACTGCTGATACAGTAGCTGGATTGGGATTGGGGGGATGCAAAATTTGATATACATACGTCCTGTTTCCCCTTTGGGATAATGGTATGTCCCAGATAGT